GCACTTTAAAAAAAAATTGCGATTTTGACCTACAAAATGTCACCTTATTTATGCAATAAAAATTGTTTAAATTAATTATTTTACTAATTTTATAGATTCATCGACAATTTATATTATTAAACTACATGTATACACAGAGACAACTCGATTGATCGAATAGTTTTTGAGTAATCTTTCCCGCCAATTGCCAAAAACTGGTTTCGAGAAAAACGCGTTTAAGGTTTTCGGTATTGAAAAGTAAAAAAGAAAAGTGTAACAACAAGTTTAAAACTGAGGCTCCGATTTCTTGCTTCTTCGAATTTCACACTTTGCTTGCACTCTCCAAATTGCACTCTCAAATAAGTACTTCCGAAAACGCGCCAAAAACAGTTACAAATTTTATAATCTTATATCTTATGTTACCGTTGACCAAGCGCTTCGCCGCGCGCTTGTACATATATCTGCGCGCAAGAAATGGGCTGTGGACTCCTTAAAACTTCAAATTTTGTTCTGTAACTTTGGGAATATATTTTCTACATGGATTACTATTGATTAAAGCAAAAAAAATTTTTTCAATTTTTTTAACCGGTTACACGAGGCTCCCCCTTAATGAATAGGTACAACGTAATTTTTTAACATTCACGTATATAAAACAGAACAAACTCTTAACAGATTTATTTATTGAAACGCGGTAAAATCATGTATGGATTTAGTCGTCACTCTATGTTTAAAAACTTTAAACAATATGAAAAGTTATTAACAATTAAAATTAGAGCTTGAAATAATTATTCTTCTAATTTTTCCAGCCCAGCAGTTTTGAAGAAAGATCATTATACTGACGTCATGTAGCAAATGTCTTTCTTTTACTTTCATTGAAAAATATAACATAAAGTTAATACGTTAATGTAAAACACGCAATATTTGTTACAAATTCATAGTGTCATATGTTTGCCACATGAATTGCTTCATTTGACATACAATGATGAACATCTAATCATATATTTGAATCAAATGCAAGACGAGATATTATTAGCCCTCGGTGTCAAAAAGTAACATATATGCACTCATACACACATTATAGATCATTATCACTTGTTTTACAATGTAGGAATAATTCTTATAAACTAATTCGTGGATATAAGAGGGGAAGGGGCTCAGCACAACACTCTTCTCCGAAAGATATTGGAATTGGGTAGGAGATAAGATTTTCTTAAGATGAGAATGCAGAAAGAGAGAGGCAGAGCTTCTTTTCTGCCACGCGTTCTATTTACCATGTTTAAATAAATAAATTTGCTAAGAATAAGAGTTTATTTTATTAAATATAGATGGTGTCATAAAATTACGATTTATTCAGTAAACTTCTTTTCTTAACAACTTTTTAATAAATAATGAGTGCCGAGAACTTTTTTCTTGTTACTCAAAACAATTGGCTTTGGTAACGTATGTCAAAGTCAAGACGATTGGATCTGATTGTGCAAATCTAAATGTTTACCAAATGTAGAATATCAATAATAAAAATGAAAATTACCTGAGATAAAATATACGTTGCAAGCCATCTAATAAAACCTGTTTTCGACCACAGCAACACATCACTATACCAAAGAGATACTATTTGATATGTTATTAAGTATGACACTTTCAATTTATACTTAATGGGATCTAAGTTTTCGTCATGAATAATATCAGCTTCTCTGAAAAATGGTTTTAAATATGAAAAGTTCGTCGACAATGTTTCCGGTAAATAAACAGTTTAATAAGTTCTCTATTTTGTGGATATAACAAATTATTGCAAAACCACGAATAAACTTTTTTATAATTAAAAACTTGAAGTTTAGGCTCGCAAAATTTAAATCAATGGAGTAGCAGGAGGATCCGAAACCAAAGAAGATTGTAGTTCTTAATATCTTTTATTATAACCAATGTTTTTTATAAGCAGCAAACGTTTTGGATAATCATTCAGCCATCTTCAGTACTACTGTTGCAACTCTGTTTAGTAGAAGATTGTAGATTCAATTCGTCATTATTAAAACTTTTTTGGAAATTAAGTCACGTATGTGATTGCGAGAAAATCTTATTTATGTAGGTGTTAATCGAATGTTACCATGTTCTCGACTCTGACAGTCGACTGTCTAAGACTCAAAAGAGTTTTAATAATGACGAATTGAATCTACTATCTTCTACTATACAGAATTGCAACGGTAGCACTGAAGATGGCTGAATGATTAGTCGAAACGTTTGCTGCTTACGAAAAACATTTTCTATAAATGTTTTTGCAAAAAATGTATTTAAGATCTTTTGAGCTCAATCTTATAACAAGTAGAAATAAAGTGACTTTTGAAAATTTTGTGCTGTTATGCAACTTTTTTTAACAATGTAATTTATTTTACTTTTGAAACGACGTAATTTTATCTGTTTATTTATACAGTCAGAGTTTATTTATACATACAGACTTTATTTCAAAAAGCTAGAAAAAAGACATTTTGTACATTTTTTATAAATAACTTCACGGATAAAAAAGAACATTGGAATTTAGAAAACAAGAACTGTGATAAATTTGGACAAAATAACTGATATAATAAAAACTTTTATAGCAGTCGCTTTATATGTACAACTTATAGCACACAGTCATTTTTCATGTTTCTAAAACTGAAACTAAAGAAAAATCTGAATTGACGAAAAGAATGATTATTTCAAATTTTAATCTAAACTAAGGGTAATGATATTTTCTTAATGTGGCGCTAGTAAAATTGTATAGATTTCAACTATTTCCTAATTTATACATTGTGACATAAAAATATGTTTATCTTTCAGTTTTTAAATTATATTATTCGATAATTTTACATTTGTTATTTATTTTTGATCAACTCATTTTGGTTTCGAATATTACCTGTGTAAAATTAGTCCCCATGTCTCAGTGGTATTATGTTGATCATCCCAAAATGCAACATAGTCTATTTTTGGTAATTTGTCTATAATTTTTTCACGTTTCAAAAAGTATAGAACTTGTTGAGCAATTCTTTTCGCTAAATGTAAATAGCCTATAATGGTTTTTCTACCCCAAAATGTGACAAACGTTTCGCTTACAACCAAAGTATGAATTCTAGTGAATGAAGTTATTACAACCTTTACATGTTCGATAAATATTGAAGATGAATTCTCAAAATGTGTCCACATCATGTCATATTCAAGTTTGTCATTTTCTGTTGTTCGTATAGGCATATTTGATAAAGCTGTGTAATTTTTATGATGCTTGATGGAAATTTTATAGGTGGCATTAAATGCTATCTTGTCCCAGCATGGGAATAGTTGTTGAGCAGTCATTACATCAATACCTGTCGCATTTAACCTATCATATTTTAACAATATGATAAGTATAAAATTTTAAATATAATTATACTCAATAATCGACTAAGGATAAACTATGGAGAATAGACTAAAAGTGTTGGATTTCATAAAAATTGAATCATAGTTTATAACGCTGTACAGAATGTTGCAAATGTACCAATTTGACATATATTTCTACATCTTGAAATCAACAAATTTGAAATGCAGTGTTGAATTCATTTGAGTACTATTATGTCTATTTTATGTAATGCGCAATTCTCAGAATGTCATCTGGTTTATAAATGTTTATAATAAATATATTTTGAGAAGAATATTATCGAAAATAATCTGCATAGTATAATTTTGTTTCAAATATTTTTTTACTCACATATTATTCGAAGTTTCATTAAAAAATGATAATGCAGAGATGTATTTCTTGTCATTATTTATGTGACGCATATATGCTATTATTAGAGTGTATCTTCCAGGTGTTAAAAATTTTTGGTAATTCTGGCATATTGGTAAAATCAATCGTAAGCATGCTCTGATTATGAATAAATGAATAATTTGGAATATAAATTGTTTCACTATCAAGATCTTTATACAAATTAATTTTAAATATAGCAAAGATCACTGGATGCATAGATATGTTTTCCGTTTGACGATTAATATATATAGTTATATTACATTCACCAAAATGTCATTTGTTTCGTAATTAAATCTTATATTGGCATCATAATGCAATGGTATTAGTGGTATAGAATCCGGGAAATAAACTCCAGTGTCATTTCCGGTATTGATAGTAGTATAATTTTTGATACTGATAACATCGTCATTTTCAGTATTAATAGTTACAATAGTACAAAGTACTATTGTAGCGATTATCATTATTTTGCCATTTGTTAAAAGCTTTTGGAATATCATATTTATTTTTTTTTTATATTAAAAAAATGTCTGCAAAAAATGTTTGTTGCCAATAAAACATATTCATTTACAACATCTAGTTTTTAATTTTCATGTAGCAGAAAGAGCATATTTCAACTATTTACATAAAAATAATACAGAAAGAAATCATGATACACTGAATGTGTAATATTTTGGACTATAATTGAATGGTGCTATAATTGTAGTCACGATACTCAATTTTATAGGAATCGTTAATATGATGTTAGCAATGATACTTTTACACGTCTTGCCAAACATATAGCCAATTATATAGTTATTATAGAACATTTAGAAAAATATTTGACGCCAAGAAACAACATCGATTATGGCTACTGCTATTGTTTTTTTTTTTTCGTTTGAAAAAAAACATGAAAAAATTGAAATTGATAAAATAAGTCGATAGTGTTTAGAAGGATAGTAATATTGTATATGAGTAACTTCATAGCTTTCAACTTCATAGTTATCAAAAACATATTAAATATTTAAAATTGCCTGTTAGAATACAAAAATAAAACAAAGACGAAATTGTTACTTAAAGTACCAGTAATTCTATAAATATTAAAATGTTAAAATATTATATTTATAATCGGTTATGATATACATTCTCTAATACATGTAAGCAAGCTGTGCGCGCACACACACACACAGTTAATTATTTTCACTTTGCAGCAATGATAATTAATTATTACACACGAAAAGACTTATACCGTACAAAATAAAAAATAAATGAGTAAAAAGAAAGTTAGTGATACAGTTACTTATGCAGAAAGAGATTTGAGGAAATAAAGTTGTATTTATCATGCTTTATAAAATTTTCTAATAATAATAATGTTAAGGATTCACTAAATTTAACAAATAATCTTGTGAGAAAAAGGCCAAAAGCCAAAAGTTGCTAGTTTTTCATGCAAAAATTATATTATATTATAAATTTACAATGACAAACGTTTCAGTTTATGTTAGGCCTTCCTCGGTGTCGTTACAAAAATAAAAAAACACAATAAACGGTATCTCAAGTGTCGAAGCGTTTGACAAACAAATAAGACGATTTACGCAAGATATTTTTCATGTCAGTAAATTTCAAAAAAAGATTATTTCCATATGAAAAGATTGAAAATTAGCATTGTAAATATAAGTCGAAAAAATATGTCCAATGAAAAACCATGGAAGAGTTGGAGACCAAAATTTTGCAAACAAAATGTCTTCGAAATTCATGGAGAATTTCATGAGAGTCAAAGAGTCCATGATTAGAACTGAATAAATAGTTAAACTAATTCGGACAGTCAAAAAGACAGCGATCAGAAAGATTATCTAATATGATAGGGAAATAATTATAATAAATAAGGAAATAATCTTTCTTTGAAATTAACTGAAATGAAGAATATCTTGCGTATATCGTCTTATTTGTTTGTCAGACGTTTCGACACTTGGGATACCATTTATTGTGTCTTTTTATTTTTGTAACGACGTTGAAAAAGGCCTAACATAGGCAGAAACGTTTGTCATTGTAATTTATAATATAATATAAATTTTGCACGAAGCACCAGCAACGGCCCTTTTTGTCTTTTTCTCACAAGATCATTTGTTAATTTTTTTATGTTTTGAAATAGAAATATTTGGTGTCTGGTTACTTACCTACATATGTATATTAAGATGCAATCAATTAAAATGCAATGCTACGTAAAAGTTTACAATCTTGTAAGAATAATACAGTTAATACACACCAATCGTGAATGCCAAGAGTATATAAATCAAACTGAGATTCCATTTGCACCGAGAAGTCGCCGGATACTAAGGATATTTGTAATTGATATTATATATATGTCTCACAGACCGTTGCTATGAGGTCATTCAACAGGCAAACACTTTACTAGTCCAGTGCTCGGAATTAGTCTGAACATTCAGCCGATTCCGTGGTATACGC